TTGTGGTATATTGTCAGAACTTCTTGATCATAGAACGGATTCGATTTTGCCCTTCTAGTTGGATTAAGTGCAAGGAGGTGCTCGACAAGTTTTATTTTGAGACTCTACTACCCTATCAAGTGGGTAGGTCAGACCAGAGAGAACCTCGACCTGGTCAAGAGGGTGCTAGTTAAGTTACAAGAATAACTGACAGAAAGCAAAAAAAGTATGGTGCAGAATAGGCTATGCTTGCTACCGACAGAAGAAGCATTTATTAACGAAACTCGACGGTTGGAGAGCCTTTGGCCATGGCATAACTGTCCATGCAACCGTTGGGGCTTGTCGGCGATTGTTTACACTGCCAGTTGGGTACACGCCTCAACCTGCTTTGGTAATTTTTGGTACCTTTCTTAGTGTATTTCCGAGAACACTGTGTACTGTTGTCGAGACCATGAGGTTTCATTCATTTCGCATCGATTTAAACTACAAAAATATTGGGCAGTAACTAAAAAGAATCTAATACAGGATAAGAGATTGTTCCAACTTGCAACATGGGCATTTATTGACAAACTATGACAGTTGCAGAGCCTTTCCTTATTGCATAACTGTCCAATCAACCGTTGGGGCTTGTCGGTGAATGTTTCCATTGCCAGTTGAGTACACGCCTCGACCTGCCTTGGTCATCTTTGCTACCTTTCTTAGCGTTTTTTTCGAGAACATTGTTTGTTTGTTATCGAGATCATGAGCGTTCATTCATTTCGCATCGATTTAGCCTACAAAAATATCGGACAGTAACTAAAAAAAAACTAATAGAGAATAAGAGTGTTCCAACTTGCAACACGGGCATTTAATGACAAGCTACGGCAGTTGCAGAGCCTTTCCCCTTTGCGTAACTGTCAGTGCAGCTGTTAGGCTTGTCGGCGAATGTTTGCACTGCCAGTTGGGTACACGCCTTGACCTGCCTTGGTCATTTTCCTTGCTTAGTTTATTTTCAAGAACACTGTTTGCACTGTTGTCGAGACCATGAGCCTTCATATTGTTTGCTTTGATCTTGTTTGATTTAGGGAACTGTTAGCAGTCTATAACGTAATGTGCACCAGCCCAGCTGTATAAATTTTGTGAATTATTAGCAGTGCAGCCTTTGTAAATAAAGTTATATAAGGAGGTATAAGTCTACCTCATTTTTTTGTTTTGTTTAGTTGAAACTTGAAACGGCAGAGGAATAAAGCATGAAGGCACGCTGTTTCAGTGCATACCTTGCATTCAAATACTGTCTCTTTATTCATGACAAAAGACTATTCACAAAGTGGCAAAGCATTTACCTCACACTGACATTTACTTACTGAGGGTAGACAAATCACTGTAGAAAGAGGAGCTTTTTCTAAGAGAGCCAAATGCTTTAGTCATCGGAGGCTTTCATCAGAGGACTTTGGAAGTTGGTGAGAGCCACGCAAATCGCCCACATTTCGCTGACAACTGGAGCAAGTGAAATCTGAACCGGCCGGTCAAATATGTGGAAATTCTTAATCCTTTGAATTCGTCGTTCCACGTGTATGCGGAGAGAAGCGATCTGTTCCGTCTCCTTTACCTCTTCAGTCGTAAAGTAACCTTTACGAAGGAATGGGGGTATATTCAGTCGAACATTGATTTTTTTCAGCATCTCCTCTATCCTAAAACCCTTATCAGCCATCACTGAGTCGCCGTCATCAAAGGGCAGCTTGAGGAAACCACTTTTTTCTACACATTCCTTGTCTGACATTGAACCAGTGAACAGCTCAGATATGAATGTTACTGTCCCATCGGGAGAAATGCCGATCAACCCCTTAAACGTGTTTGTAGATTTATATGGAGAAAAAGTAGCCGACTGCAGCACGAGCGAGCTGGAGGCTTCGCACTTTACCTCGGTTGCATCTAAGATGACCCTTGTCGTTGGGTAGCGATCTTTAAATGCAGGTGGCATTGCGTCATCCACAGCCTCCCTTGGCAGCCACAGGTGCTGCTGACCAAGGTGTAGATACACATAGCTTATCCACGTTATACACACCTTTGACACTGTAGCCTTAGAAACTCGAAAGCGGTAAGCAAGATCTCTTTCAAAGAGTCCAAGACGAAGGCGGACGAGTAGCAAAAAGAACTGCTCAGCGGGAGACAAAATCGAGCGCCTTCCGGCTTTTCTGGCTTTGTCACTGTAGGTGGTGGACCAAACTTTTACATTCTCGCCGTCCTCACCTGGGTCTAAGAACCTTAAAAGACGCATGAAGTGATCATGGCTTGGAAGGCCGGTGTAGAAGAGTACATCAGCTGGGCTGTCCTTAAAACAATCGATGCAAAATCTGCGACTTGATTTTGCCTCTAGTGTTTTACACTGTTGTAGCGCAAGCTCAAGCTCTCTTCGGCACTTACACAGGGCATGCTTAGTTTCTTTAAGTTCTGCTTCATGTTTCTCTAAAGAGCTACACTTGGCGAGAGCGGCCTGAAGCTCTGCTTGGGCATGATGCAGGGTGTCTTCAGCTTGTGTTAACTGGTCTTTGCACCTGTTCAGTTGAATCTGCAAGTTTTTGATAACCTGTGCTTGGGATGCAGCCTGTTCCTCCAGCCGTCGTAATTCAGTGATGGGCACCAACTCAACTATGGTGTAATCTGTAGGGAGGTTGGTGGCAAAAGTTTCAGTCCCGTCCATATCGGTGGCGTCGTCGGCCATCGAGGAGTCGCAGGTTGCAACTGAGGCGGCGGTCGTGTTAGTGATGATTTCAGTGCCGTCTTCATTAACGGCGTTGTCAATGTCAGCGGCAGCGTTCACTGTGTTGTCGATCATGTCCCTTGTGTTCTCGTCGGGAGCACTCTCCTCAACGGAGACAGCGTAGCTGGTTTCGTTTTCGTCAGAGTCGACGGCGGCGTTCATTGTGTCATCGACCATCGCGTCCCCTCTGTTTTCGTCGGCAGAACTGCCCCTCAACTGCGACATCATAGCTGGTTAGGTTTCCGTCGACACTTTCGTTAACGGTCGTAGCACTTGTTTTAGCTTTGCTGGCGACGCCGTCCGCGCTGGTGTAGTCTGTTGCACCTTTTTCCGCTGTGGGAATCTTGGGTGTCGGTGGCATCCTTTGAAGGGGCGCCTTCCTTGGGGGTCTTTTCGCTACGTTAAATGCAAACACGCTTGGCACAGTATCTTGTTTTAGGAACCGATGGCCACAAACAATATTTGACAGGTAGTCTTTTTCTTGAAAATGTGCTGAACACACCTTCGTGAATTTCGAAATGGTGAAGTGCTTTCCCTCATCTCGTTTGATGGCAATCAACCATTTTCTTCGTAAAACAGGGTTGCTCGGAAAAGCAAAGAAAGACACCTGGAAAACAAAAATTATAACAGATGTTAACTAGGGCTCAGCGGAACGAAGCTCATGTTTCAAAGTAGCGGTGTAGCGCATTTTGAAGTTCTACGCATATACGCGAAACTTTTTCACGAAGCAGTAATCTCGCGTGCCTTATACTTCGTCTCAGCTTAGCATGGACTATTGTTGGCCGCACGTGCTATACTCCGTTTCACCTTATGTTGTACCGCAGCGAAGGCTGGAAGCGCGAGCTCATAGCGTTGACAGCTGCCCTTACTGCACGAGAGCTCGTGCCGCCGAGATCTGCCCCAGAGCAAGGAGCTCGCGCTTACAGCTTTTCCTGCGGTACAACATTAGGTGAAACAGAGCTTAAAAGCGACACGTCGGCGGCTGCGCGAGCGCCCGTGCAACGCAAGCGCCAGTTTAAGGCTACCGTCTCGCGCTAGCACAGCCTCTGGGGTCAGTCCATGCTATACTTCGTTTCACCTTATCTGCGAGCTAAACCAAAGCTAAAAGCGCGAGACCAGCGCTTTTTGCGTTTCTCCCCAGCTCGCGCGCTCGAGCAAAGCCTGAACGCCTGGAGCTTTCGTGCTCGCGCTTCCAGCTTTGCCTTCGCTGGCACATAAGGTGCAACGAAGTATAAGATGAGACGATAGACTAATTAGCAAAACAAAACGTCTCACCTTGTTTCCGTGATCATCCCTTACGCCTCTCTGCTTACAGAGGGGCACGCAATCGTACGAGTAGAATCGAGCGGGGGCTACAGCTGCAGGAACACTCGCTGCGCACCCGCTTCCATCTGTCGCCCTATCAATGGCGGTCGGCGGTTGCCAGCGTGTTGCCAGCAGCGCCCGCGCGTTGTTTTGAAATCCTGCCGCTAGATGGCGTGGAATTTGTGGATCGGTCTATTTTAAATAAAAATGCATGTAAAAAGTACTTTTTATAACGAACAACATATTGGCTATATCGAACTTTTCCCCCCAGGAAAGCTGCGAAAACAGGCGCAAACAATGGTCTTCTAGCCTGTCTCCCCCCCCTTTCCAAGAAAAGGTAGGAAAGAAACAAAATTTTAAAAGCTCAAGCTGCGAACAAATTGAGCGAAGAGAAGCGATTCAGGAGGGAGGAAGCTAAGAAACTTCCTGCACGCACGCACAGAAAAAAAAATCTTTTCATCCCAAAGCAGTTGCCCACAAAGAGAAGTGATTCAGAAGGGAGAAAAGCTAAAAAAATAAACTGTGCATGCATGCAAAAAAAAAAAAAAAAACTTTCCAGCACTTTGTTACAAGGTGGAAGCGAAGAGATGAAAAAGAAAAAGAAGCTCTTGCCTTACAACGAACGCATCGTGGAAGTTCGTTGTAAATGGTTTTTGCTATATCGAACTACTTGCTATATCAAACTGGTCGTAGCATTTTCTACTGTTTGTTATAAATGGGTTTGACTGTGGCTGCTAGTTCATTATAACCGACTCTGTTATAAGTGGGTGCGATGGTACTTAGAAACATTTGAATTGGAGTAATGTTAAAACAAGTCATTGGTTGATAGTGGGAGGCCAGTTTCTGGGAAGTAGACAGATAAAAAATTATATGATATTGTTTTAACTGCGAAAAGCGACTGTGAATGTCGAGAAAAAATATTCCTAGAATTTCCAGGGCGCACTGACCCGACTTTAGAGAAACAAAGTGTGCGTGCCTGGGGGTCTTGTAGAGTGAGTGCCACAAGGGGGTCTGGGACCAGGTGCAGCAGCATGAACAGCCGGGTCCTGGCCCTCTGGCCCACCTCCTCGTAGCGGGACAGGGAGCCCTTCAGCTCCCCCAGGCACAGCCTCAGGGCCCGCAGGTGCAGCAGGCAGAGCTGCCGCGCGACGGCGCACTCGCCGCCCAGGCGGCCCGCGGCATGGCCGAGAAGCAGCGCTGTCTCCCTGGGGCGACTCAGCAGAACCTCCTCGAGGGCGGTGATGCAGTCGGGCGACAGGTCCTCGCCCAACGGGCTCGCACCGCGAGAGTATGCCAGGTACAGTTCCTGTCGTGTGCGGGGAGGGAAAAGTTTGAGAGAGGCGCGCATATAAAGCCTCCAACGGGTGCGCGTCCCATTCCACCCACAGTCTCAAAGTGGTTTCGAAGCGGCAATAAATGACGTCGCGAAAGCCAGGCTGTCACACAGGTCCTGGCCGTCAGGCGTTCCATAAAAGAAGACTGTGTTGCCATTGTCGTCCCAACTGCCTCCGTGTCAAGAGGAAAACGTGTGCCATGTCCACCACCGCGCGACATTGCCGAGGTCGTAGCCGGAAACGACACTTGCACGACGTTCTCGATCGAGGGACCACTTTTGAGGACGTGGTAAATGTGCCAGTCGGAGATGCCTTCCAGGGTAGGATTTTTGCAATGAGACCGCCCGTACTACAGCGCCCGTCTTCGACTCGTGGCCCAAAAAGTGGTCCCTCAATTTCTGCCCGACGACGTCGTACGAGGCTTGTTGCCAGTCGCGATCCTGGCAGAGCACTAGCAGCGCCGGTTGATGTGGCGGATTCTGCTACAGGTCACTCTCCAGTGAAGGCAGCCACAAGTTAAGACGTCCCGACGACGCTCGCTCCCGCTTTTCGCCAGCATTGTACGACGAACTGCCGGGATCGCGACATCCGACAGCGGAACACTCTGGCTTCGCTTGGTGCGCCTATGGGGCCACTTTGGGGTCCCTTTAGACGTATGGGCGGACGCTAAACAAGCCAGTCTGAGACTCATTCCAAGCACCATGCCTATATACTCTGTTTCACCCGACATGTTGTATATCGACACGTTGTTAACGCTGCTTTTAAGCGCCGTTCGCTTTTGTGCCTCCTCTCTGTCCAGTTTCTCTCAATGCCCTTTTCATCCCCCGATTTTGTTCCGTGCCAATTACACAAGAATGCAACAGGAACTAGGCGACCTAGACCAACCTGTAATGAATATTTTTTTATGCAATGCGAACACTTTTTGACGAGCAATCTCGCACTAGTGTCACGATGAAAACTTTAGAGACGAGGAAAACAAAGAGGACATACGCATCATTGTCTCGTAACCGGCACAGCATGCAGCCGTCATTTACTTTCGCAACAGTCTTTGTTTGAGCGATCCAGATCCTAAAGGCAGGCACACGCACCACACCGAGGAAGTGTCGAGCGCTCAGACACTTTCTCCGACTATACCGTCCTTTCTCCGTATAGTATAGTACAAGCGGAAGTAGAATTGCCTCACCTCCGGGGACCCGAATATACTTGCGAGACATCCAGGTAAGGATGGGAAAAAGAAACCAGACATTCCAAAACAGAAGCAGCCGCGGGTAGAGAAAAAGTAAAACCATCCATAGGGATTTATTTTCTTACAAAAAAGCTGGAGGGCTTTTCACCTACTTTGATCAAATTGGCTCAGAGGTTAGTTTTGAGTGAAAGGGGGAACTTGTAATGAATCGAAGCGCATGGAGCGGTGAAACAGGTTTTAGAGCAATTTTTGAAGCAGAAAAATCTGGATTTTGGAGCAGCTTAGGAGCACAAAATTCTTGTTTTGGAGCAGCAGTTTATGCATATTGGAGCAACTTCGAAGCACAAAAGTCTACAGTTTGGAGCAGATTAGGAGCAGAAAATGTTAGAGCAGCTTATCAGCAATTTAAATCATAAAAAATCTAATATAAATCACATAAATCAGATTTTTCTTTTTTAATCATTATTTTGTGTCCATACTGGTTCTAATAACTCATCAGCGCCGATACGCATCAAGATAAAGTATGAAAGAAAAAAAAAAAACAGAAAAGGCAAACATGACTTTTGCGCGCATAGATGAGGACAGGAAACACAGGCTTGCTGCAAAGTTAGCTGGGCACCCAGTACCTCAAGCTTAAACGAACTGGTGCCAAAGCGCAATTGTAGTGCAGAACTTTTTAAAGTGGTGATTCAAGAGCATGAACAGGGAAACACAGTTTACTACAACCAGACATCGATGCACACTTGTAGGAAGCACGTGCAGATAGGAAAAAAAGTGAAAGCCGTTTACAAATCCCTGTAACGCCGAATTGGAGCACAGCTCTTGAGGAGGTTTAGGGAAGGGTACTGAGGGGGGTCACGTCACCTGCGGGTAGTCACGTGACCCCGGGGGGGTCACGTGATCTCGGGGGAGGGGGGTCCCGTGACCTCGGGGGGGGGGGGGTCACGTGACCTTGGGGGGGGGGTCACGTGACCTTGGGGGGGTGTCACATGACCCCCCCCCCCCCCCCCCCCCCGGTTACGCCGACGCCGACGCCGCTCAGCCTGGAAACAGGCCCCTAAGAGCTGCGCTCTAAAAACTCCCCACAAAAGCGAGTCACAAGGTAAATAGTGAATTGGTAAAAAAGCTATGAGCAGCACATGCACGCTAAACACGGGTGTGACCGATTTATTCAATTGCTCACGCACTGGAAGTGTGTGATAACCGAAAGTACTCACGGCGACAGCGCCGTCCATTTTGACCAGATAACGGACACGAATGAACCATTACACAATGGAGGCGCTCAATAGCGCTTTTAACCCTTTCATGATCACTGACGTACCTGTATGTCAGCGCGGGAGCGTCCCGCATGGTTGCTGACGTACCGGCACGTCTGCGACTGCTCATTCAAAAATTCGCGCCTCTGCTTGAACGGGCGCGTTCGCGGGGACGTGCTGCCATCTGTTGGGTTCGTAGGGAGCTACGACCCTATAACTCCGGTTGAGTTTGTTTGGGCGCGGCTTTTTGAAATCGCGAAACTGGACGCTCTGTGCAAGTGATACTTTGAAGACGGCCACCCGTGCTGGCTGCTCAGGGGTAGCGTAGTGGAGATTGGAGCGATGGCTCTTCGGGTTCAGACTTTGAACCCTTGTCGGACTCCGAGTCGGATGACAATTCGACATCCCACAAACAACTGGAAACCAGCTCGGTTCGGAGTCCGGAGTCGGACACACAGCCGCACCGTCTGCTAGACCGTCTCAGAAGCGGGTGCGTCGAAGTTTTAGTCTTTTTTGTTTTGTTCAGCCTCCAGCGAGTGTGCCGCAGATATTTTGAAGCGTGTGTACTATTTATTTTAAGTCTTACATTTTTTTTATGCGACAATAAACTAGTGTATACTCTTTGCTATCACATCGAGTGAAAAAACCCGACCACGGGGGCGCATCTTTGGACAAAAAATGCGACCATGAAAGGGTTAAGAAAAGGTTTGCTCTCAAAACGAAACAGATACTTAGGTTTCCTCAAAATGATAGCCTGTGAGTCGTACCTCCCGCGGCCCGACAGCGAGACCGCATGACAGCGCACCGGTAGCATGCAGTCACAAATGACAGCGGAAAATCGGGAAAAGACCACGTATCATAGGTATAGAAGGGTACTACAGCTGAAACCTTCGAATCCCGACGGTTGCTTGCGCCACCTTCTACCCGCGTTGTGTATTTTACTACGACGAGATTAAATGTTACCAACCAAGGTCTCGTTTCCCGGTAAATCTAGCATCGCCGCAAACTTTTTTTTTTTTTTTCCCGAGTTACTTTGGCATAGTGTGGCACAATTTCGACCGATTTAACGTTTCTTGCGTAACTAGGCACAGAAAACTGGGTTTGTATCAAAATGAAGCAATTGGCGCAGATGTCACACCCCTGTGCATCAAAAGGTGCGACCTTAGCCAGTCCTGCGTCGTGCCGGGTGTGTCTTCGCGAACAAGATGGGCTTCAGTCGGCGTCCTCGTGGTCCGTCCCAAACGTGCATTGGTTTCCGACCGCACGGGTCACGGATATTTAGCTGGCACTTGCTTCCTGGCCGAGCCCAGCACTCGTGTCTAATTCACAGCCTGGAACCTCCCCGTCCAACTTTAGGGGAGGCAATCCTTCGGAAGCTCACGGTATAAATTTAACCCAGGTACAAGGGGCACCTCCATCTCGCACATATATTTACATACAAACAAAATGACTAGAGGAAAATAGAGGTCACCTTTTGGCACTCTCATTTTAAGACTCCGATACCTGGTACGAGCAAAAATAATGCCAGCCTACCTGAAAGCTTTCGGGGCATCCCCGTTGCTCATTCTACATCCCACAAAAGAACTATTTACGGAGTTCTTTTTCAGCGCGAAAATGAACTATGCTTCGTGGAAGCTTCGGTTTCTGCCCAAATATAGCGATAGTGGTCCAAACAGGTGCCAAAGTTTCGGAGCAACCTATCTTATTTTTATAGGCGATTTTGAGACATTTTCTACGGTAAAATGGTGGCTGACAAAGTACACGAATGCGCGGGGCTGATTGGCAGAAACTGCCGATAACGGGCCCTGTTTTTCCCTGGAAGTCTCACAAAATCAGTAAATACTTTTGAGTAAGATAACTGCAAGTTCTGAAACTATGGCCGCCGGTCCAGACCATTAGTGCTCCATTTGGGCGGAAACTGAGCATTCCGCGACGCATATTTTATTTTTGCGGCTTAAGAAGCTCATAGTTTCGGAACACGCCGTATTTTTGCAAATAGACTTCCCGTTAACTATACGTTTCACAAACCCACATGCACTTGTCAAGGCCTGCCAGCAAAGTATGCGACACGCACAACATCAACAGGTGCCCATGCAAGCACTCCCCCCAGTGCCACGAGCGAGGACCCGCACTTTCTACAGTGCTTGCGAGCAATGACAAAAAGATCAAAAAAAGACTAAACCTCGCGGCACGCGTCGGGAAGATCCGCAGCAAAAGTGGAGAGGAGCACTCGGAACTCTGCGTCGTGTTTCAGTTCTGCAATCGCCTCCTGATGATGGGAAAGGAGAAAGCAAACAGTTTGTTAATTACAGGAGCAATGGCTAGGAAGATCTCTCACTTTACACAAGCTTACCAGAACAAGTGGGATCCAAGTATTCGCGACTCCAGCGAACTATAGGGGGCGCGCATGTTAGGCAAAATGGCGGACGAAAGGAGGTCGTTTGCATCGTTCAGCACGTGGACCACCATAAATTTTGTGCACTGGAGCGTAAAATGGGTGTTACATATGAAAGCAAAGCGATTTTTCGACGGTAGAGACCTCCTTTTAGTCAGTTCGTAGGAATGACACGGCGGAAGCATAAAAATAATTACTGGAAACAATGTTTGTTTCTCTGCTGCCTACGGGAACCAAGCAGCAATGGCAGACTACAAAGTCGAAACGACCTCCTCTCCTAAGCTTCTCGGCTGTGCTGCTACGCGGCATCGGTTTCGCCGGAGTCGTCAATACTTGCACGCAAAGCCACTGACCAAAAAGCTTCTTCGTCAACCCATAATGTCAAGGATACGAGCGGACGTTTTATCTCTGTCTCTCCTTTGCAACATTGAGATGTTGAGGCGATCCCATTGTTGGTACTGTCAACAATGTGATACCTGGGACTTCGTCATCGAGCTTTGCGTCCCAGAGGCGACAATACTTAAATGTGGCTCATGCAGTGGACGCGAGCACCGAGGGAGCGTTTGATTTGGGCTCGTGACAATCAATGCCTCGACGTGCTTGTGCAGTCTCCATAATGACGGGAATAGACGAACCTTAACAATGTGTGGAAATCGGTGTGTGACCCGCGATTTGCCAAACCCAGCAAGTGGCTACAATAAACGCTGGCCACATATGATCGGCTCCGGGTCACGTGGCTGCTTGCTCTGGCAGCGATGCGATGAAAAATTGCGCGCAAGAAAACAAGAAAAAAGAGGAAGGAACACAGAGAACACACAGGTGCATACTCACAACTCTGATATATTAGGCAAAGAAAGGAAAGACGAAGCAAGATTCATTCACAACAGGGGACACCAGCACCTGAGGGAATACAGTTCAGTCACAGCCAAATAAAGAAGTTGCCTTTTTGTGATCATATGGCTTTGACTGAACCGTACTCCCCCTGGTGCCGGTGTCCCCTGTCATGAATGAATTTTGCTTCATCTTTCCTTTCTTCACTTAATATACCAGAGTTATGAATATGTGCCTGCCTGGGTTCTGTGTTCCTTTTTTTTTTTTCTTGTTTCTTTGTGCGTGATGTTTCATCATGTTCAACATTTACCAACTCACCAGCTTACCACACGAGTGAACGCCATTCATTTTTTATACATTTCTCCCACGACTACCATTGCATGCAGAGAAAAACTAACGAGAGTTTCATTAGTTACGAACGTCAAGGAATAGTTCTAAGCGGTGTTTACTAAAACAGTGCTGTCTCGTCGAATTACTCTTCTTCTGTTCTCGTCTTTTGCATTGTTTTTATTTACCATGTACAACTGAACCTACGAAAATTGTTGTCGGGGTATTCCGAAATATGCTTTAACTGGTTAAACCAATCTAAATATACTCCATATGTAAGAGAAAAAAGCTCTTCCAGCAGTAGGCTAATCTTCCTTCAATATGCCTGTCATCACCACTATTTCGTAAGTTGACCACAACAGATGTATATCAAAATTTTATTTCCCATAATTAACATTGAGTTATCAGTCTGCCATAAAAGCTAAGTTTGAGGTTTTTCCTCAACCTCGCTGAACCTCATTTGCACAGTTTATCAATATCAAGCCCACTCATTCATGGCATATTCCCAAATCACGCACCAATTTTGCAAGTCTGAGAGTTCAGCATACACTTCCGGAACTACTACAACATATGGCATCCTTAGAAATTGATGTCACTTTCCCTTAACAAAACTGCCATACTTGACACTGCATAACATTTTCAATTCAATTGATGTGTCTTCCCCCTTTCTTTTTAACCTCGCGTTGTTGTTTGCCTTATTGTCAAGCTACAAATAGGAGCCCATTTTTTAGACTCTCAAATGATTGCCAAAAGGTAAACTGTTTATTTTTCCTCTGTTTGTTTTGTGACAGGCAAGTGCTATGGAGGCACTTCAAAGAAATGCGGGAGTGTCTCTCCAAGCGGCATGCACACGCGACATCAAGTGGACGTCGCAGGCGCTTACAAACCTCGGGGTAGTTGTCCTCCAGGAAGGAACATGCGAGCCAGCTGAGATGATTCGGCGACAGCAACAGCGGGTTGGCAGACGTACTGCGAGGAGCGAAGGCGTTAGAAACCGCTCATTCGAGCACAAGGGGCCTCGCCTTTCAAACTCGGCAATTCTTGTCTTCGAGAGTAGTTCCTGACCGTGACCTAACAAAATCGCACCTGGGCATTTCGATTACTTTAAAAATTAGCTACACTGATGGGTTGGAGAGGAGCGTGAGGGGAAGGGGCAGCCAGAAAGAGGACATGGGGGTGCCTTCCCGGTCCTTTTATGCACCATTTTCAGCTCGGGGATGACTCACACATAACCATGTGCTAAGGTATATTTGAACTATTTTGCCCAGACCATGGCATTTGGTCTAGCTATCAGAGCACAGCTAGCATCACCTGTATGAAACCCTTGCCTGTCTTTTCAGGAAAAAAGAAAATCTTGCCTATGTTTGTTTTGACAAGATTTATCACTCTCAACCAACACTTCAAGTGCTGTTTTCAGAACCACCTTACATGTCATCATGCACCAGTCAAACTAAATGTTAGGGTCCCTTGTTGCACGACATCTACTTTTAATGCCTCCCTGCCCCTCCATTAATTGGAATCACCTTCCCAGAGTCATATTACAACACTACTACGTTAGAATTTGTTGAATGACATTTTGCACTAATTTCGTAATTTTGCATATTCATTCTTTGCATTTATATGTTACAGTGCCACCCTCCTCTCAGTAATGCCTTTGGCATTACAAAGACAAGAGAAAATAAATAAAGAAAGAAAAAATAAATAGCAAGATAGAGAATAAAGAAATAGAAAATATATAGAATGAAATTTGAGCCCGTCTGTTACAGAGGGAAGAACAGCCGCAGGATTTCCTGTTCCGTGAGGCTAACGGAGTAGCTTCTAAGCATCGGGAGAAAGGTTGTTTCGGGATTGCTTCATTCCACTGGAGTGACAAACGCTGCTTACAAATAATCTTTTAATGAATCAATTCAATCAATCTCGGCACTTTTACGCTCGAATGGCACCATGTTTGAGCAAAGAAGGTACCGCAGGGCATTACTCAAGTCGTGGGCAGACAAAACCTTATCTTTGTAGCGAAAGAGGGACGGGTGCCAAAAAGGAGGCCCTCCCATACAAGCAATTCATCTAAAATAAAAGAAATTTGGCAGTGCACCTTTTTTTTTTTGTGTTGAGTCATGTCCTCTACTTTGGTAACTGATTCAGCAGAATTGATATGAAAAATGCCAGGTTGCCACAAAAGCCAACAAGTAGGTAAAAGCTGTATAAAAAAAATTAGACGTTTACAAATCTGTAACGCAAAATTAGAGCACAGCTCTTGAGGAGAAGAAGGGGGGTATGCCCTCCTCCTCCTCCGTACCCTCTTCTCCTCCCGTCCTCCTCTGCTCCTCGTCTTCCCTCCTTTCCTACTCCTCCCGTCCTCCTCTGCTCCTCGTCCTCCCCTCCTTTCCTGCTCCTCATCCTCTCCCCCTGCTCCTCCTCTGTACCTTCCCCTCCTCATCCTTTGCATGAGACGTTAATTTTCCCGCTATATCTAGCGGAGAAGCTGAATTTGCTCATACGTGACGTGACACCAAGTCATGTGATGTCATTTTCCCTGCTAAATTTAGCGAGGAAAGTGAATTGGTGTTGAGGTCTCGTGACGTCAATTAGCGGGTAATTGAATTGCTGTAGAGGTCACGCGACGTCAATTTTCCTGCTACACCTAGTGGAGAAACCGAATTTGTTCATAGGTGACGTGACACAAAGTCATGCGACGTCATTTTCCCCACTAAATTTAGCGGGGAAACTGAATTGGTGTTGAGGTCACATTACGTCAATTTTCCCGCTAAATTTAGCAAGGAATTAAATTGCTGTTTAGGTCACGAGACATCAATTTTCCAGCTAAATCTAGCCGACAAAGTGAAATTGTTCATAGGTGCCTGGACACCAAGTCATCCGACGTCATTTTCCCAGCTAAATATAGCGGGGAAACTGAATTGCTGTTGAGGTCAAGCGACGTCAATTTTCCCGATAAATTTAGCGGGGAATTGAACTGATGTTAAGGTCACGTGACTAATTTTCCCGCTAAATCTAGAGGAGAAACATAATCTGTTCATAGGTGACGTGACACCAAGTCATGCGACGTCATTTTCCCCACTACATTTAGCGGGGAAACTGAATTGCTGTTGAAGTCACGTGACGTCAATTTTCTTGCCAAATTTAGCACGGTTAAGCTAACGCTGACGGCGCTCAACCCGGAAACGGGCGCCTAAATATCATAGCACAAGAGCTGCGCCCTAAAACAACGGACAAAGGACAAGGAACAAAAAGGAGACAAGAAAAAAGAACAGAGCTAGAGTTCTGTTTGTCTTTTGTGTCTCCGTTTTGTCCTTTGTGCACTATTTTTAATACAGAATGAATCACCAAGTCGCCCAAGTAGGTAAAAGGTGATGACGGGAACTACCGTAAAGTTCCAACAGAATACCCCCACCCGAAATATCGCCCACCCAGCTGTTTGGATGAAATACCTTTTTTTAACAAATTCCCAAACATCGCCGACCCCTAAAAGCGCTCTGTCCTGTCCCCTCTTCTTTTCCTTGGTGTTTGCGCTTTTGAATTTTTATACAATGTGTAGCCAACTAGCCCAACAGTTAATTTTGATTCGCGTTAAAAAGCCCGGGAAGCCCCTGCCGTGAACACGTCCAAGGGCCCCTTTGGAAAAACCTTAGATGACCCGTCCACGAACAGCACCGTTGACCCTATTTCTAACAAAAGAGAAGATACTTGTCCGGTTAGATTGGCGAGATAAGGGAAAAGTAGAAGGGAAAGATTCGAGACGTCAGGGTGCCAAAGAAAAGGAGAAACAGCTCAAGTGAACAAACTCTACAGTCATCCCTCTGCCTGCCCCGCAACTGTTCACCCGCGCTCCCTTCCAGCATCGACCATGAGGAACAGCTGCACGATTAAGAGAAAGGTGGAAGTTCTTCAGTGGCACGAGAAGAACGGAGACAAAGTCAGCAGAACTGCAAGAGATATTGAGCTGGACAGGAAACGTGGTCACAAATGAAACAGCAACTACCAGTCAATTCTGCAGCAGTGCAACGGGAAAAACAAATTTACGAGAGTCATAAACAACAGGCGGCCAGTCTTCAGTGAAGAGCTCGATGAAGCACTCGTGAATTTCTTGGATACCGAGTGGGCAGCAGGCGAGCGATAAGCAACACTGCAGCCCGCTTCAAGAGCACGCACACAAGCTGGCAGCCCAAATGAACCTGGGCTACTTCAAAACTCTGAACCACTACCTGGCCCGCTGGAAAGCCCGCCTAAAGAGAACATGACACACCCCAAAATTTTTTTGAAGTTTTTGCCAGGCGACTTTACATGGTGTCAGAAGATTACCCAATCAATATATCGCTGCAGTGTCGCATATAACTTTAATAAAGTAAAAAAATACAACTGCACAAAACCGAAACCGGACTGGGGAAAAAGATACCAAAAGTCACGTAGCCGTAAACTTCCTTCTTTTTTTTTTTTTTTTTTCAATGTATTTATTTTATTCTGCAAAGTGAGTGAATAAAATTGGTCATTATTTCAGCTTGGGCGAGTTGGTGGTTTATGCTTACACTTCACAGAGCACGAGAACGGACACACCTCAAAAGTTGATTCACACAATGAAAGAACACTCACACTGTGTCGGCTCTCAACACTGGTTTGTATTGAGCTTCATCTTTGTCTTCTCTAACTCTTATATATAAAAAAACTAATTCAAGCCAGTTGAGAAAAAAAAATGGGTTGTGTGTATGTTTATACAGCCTCGAACTTGGTCTGCCTTAACGAGCGACAAGTCTCCCAGCTGTAGATGAGGCATTTAGCCAGAGCAGTACAACCTCCAGCCTGGGGTCTTTAACGTGCATCACGCAGTAGTGATACACTATCGCGCGCCGGTACGATGATCACCCAAATCGAAACGGGCGGGGGTGCGGATTGAACCCAAGATCCTGGGTTCTGCAGCAGCCAGTTGAGAGTCAGTACAGTATGAGTGTTCTTTCTTTGTGGGAGTTAACTTTTGAGGCGTGTCTGTTCCCGTGCGCTGTGAAGTGTAAGAGTGAATGAACATTTATTAAAACGAGCTTCAGGCACTTATGATACGCTTCTAATATCGGGGTTGATATTTCATGAAGGGTTGCACCCTGGACAGGTGAAACGGCGAAGGAGTTGCTACTTGCGCAGGAGTTGCGGTGACGTCAGAAAGGTGCCGAGCTCTGATTGGCTTTGATTGAAAGGCTAGTGGGTAGACCTAATGCTAGATGTCAATCAGCCAATAAGATCTTGGCGTTCTGACATCATCGCGAACCCTCTGCAGGAAGCAGACGAACTTGAGCTCTCCATAAAGTTGAAAAAGATGACTGCTTGTACGGTGTCGATTTCGATGCGGTATCGCGTTCCTTTACTCCCACGTTGTAGAGCAAAGAAATCGCTATGAAAAGGGGGGCGTATCTCCGTACCTGAATTGGCCGGGTCGAGCAGCGACGCTTCGGACGTAGTCTCGGACGAACAACCTATCCTCCGAGGTGGAGAAGGGGGCTCGCAAGACGGTCAGGGCACATGCCCGGGCGCACTGCCACTGTCCGAGCCACACGTGACTCGTAAACTCTGTCAACAAATTACCAGCGGAGCCGAGCGCTTCGTCCGGCGACGGGTCGGCGTCGGCCGCGTCGTCGCCGTCCGTCTGCATGTCCCTCTTTATTCGGGGACTCGCCTACTTGTGCGATGGCACGGCCGAGGTCACACTTTCGGAGCCAGAATGTTTCGCGGAAACTTTCTTGGGCACACCATGGACCTAACAAACGTGCACGCACCCACGACGATTATCCGAAACTTGCTGGTGCGCGCGGCGCAAGTAAAACGAGAAGTGGCTCATATTAAACGAGGTAAGCAGCTGGTAGCAAATCGGTAAGCACGCACTAAAACAAAACATATAAATAAAAAATGTATTTAAATAGTTATTTTATGAATTACACGTATGTTTGTTAGAAAATTAGTTTTGAAGGCTCAGCCCGCTTGAACACTGCTGCAGCGCGAGTGCAGCCACCGGGCAGCCATCTTGCATGTGGCGCTATTGCGTTTTCGCCAGTGTTTCAGAGGCTGGCGGCGTCGTACTGAAGGCATGTTTTGTACCCGTTCGTCGTCATTCGCCGAAGAATTATTTTCGAAAACTCTGTGTAAGCCGTGAGACTAGCCGTTTAAAACACGTGGAAATTTCAACAAAAGCGTAGTGCAACAGGGAAAAAGCACAACTCTTTGAAAGCAAGTTTCACCTGTCTCGCGGCGTCCGCGGCGTGGTCAAAGCTTCCTTGGCACGCCGAAGCGCTGCGCCTCTGTGCCCACAGTGTCTGTGCCTTCAAAGTTCAAACGCTTGGATACCTATCAAGACTTGACACCGTGTGGATGTGTTTTGTGAGTGCAATGTGCGTGAAGCCGTGTGTGCCTCTAGAGCAGCGTTTTACTTTACTCTGGCTACTGTATTTGTAACTTGCGGCACTCGCGGTCCAGAATTTAGAAATGAGCTTGACCCAGCGTCCAGGCCGACGGAAGAGTGGGGAGAAGGTACGTCTTTTTTCCTCATTAGACGATTTACAGAATACTGCACACAAAAGCTCCTTGTCACTGATCTCTAGAGTGACCACCTTCCTGCTAGCGAAATGTCCCGCGTGCACGCGGTACACGTGACCCTGCCCCGCGCGCGTCCCCCTGCCACGCGTATCCCCCGGCCCCCCTGCCAGGCGGGGCAGGGGGGAGTCTAGATTAACACGCACACCCCGAACCAAGTTGAAAACATAAAAATCGCAGAACTTGATGCATCAAATGAAAATAAGAAACTGTAAATCTTTTTCGGGTTATTGTTTCCTGTCAACGCTCACTTTTCTCAATATGGTCCTACACAAAGTTTTAACATTGTTATTTTTCAACCGTTGCGAGTTACAGGCTTTTTGCCTTGTGTAACTGTCTTCACTAAAAAAAAAATAAGAATCCACAGAAACCCTTTCGCATTGAGACAGCAATTAGAAAATAATTGGTTTCATTTTTTTATTTATATTCAAACTTTGGCAAATTTAAAGTTTACATTTTATATTTAAGCTTTTGGCGAGCAATTCTTCCTACAATATTTTGCCACCAAGGGGAGAGGCACAACGGACCATGCGTGTCAGATTTCCTGCAAGAACGACGGTCGCTTGCCGCAATGCTTGGATAGAAAATTGCATACCAGCGATTCACAGGATTACCAGCGACCTCCGCGCTTCCCCGTGCCCCGCTGTTCGGCAGCGAATTGCAGAGTGAATTTTACGATAGCGTGAAATGCGGGACATTTTGAAGATTTGGGAATTTCACGCGAAACGCGGGACACGAGCCCTCAATGCGGGACAGTCCCGCGAGTCGCGTGGTCACCCTACACTGATTAATACACTTGACGTTTGAGAGCGGCTCCCCTAATTGTGATTGGTCGATCATCAACGGGTGTATGGAAATTATTTATTTATTTATAGAGGTCGAGGGCCTCGGTGGAGGCTATGCCCGCGCTCTTTCGGCAGTTAAACCCACCCTGCGGTCGGGACCCCACGGGCCTCGGCGACCTCGGCAGCCCGACGGAAGCGTCCCACCGCTCCTCCGAGGGGAAGGGATAGGGCCGGGGGGGACGACGAAGGACGAAGGGCAAGCCCATAATATATGGGAGAGGGTAGCTCTGGCGCTGCAGAAAATGCAGGTGGGATTGTAGAGGGATGGGTAGATATGGGAAAGGACGAAAGGGGTGGGGAAGAAGTGTGTCTGTAGCTGACGCCACATAACATATTCTCTTCCCGAAAGAGGGCTTGGGTCGCAGGCGGGTAAAGGCGGTGGGAGAGACGGTAATGAGAACGAGCCCCGTGATCTCGAAACTGGGTCCATCCGACCCGGTCGGTGTGGGATGGACCCAGGCTGTGGAATGGGCACGGTGTAGGAAGGTCTTCCTACACCGTGGGAATGGGCCAACTCGTTTCCGCAGAGTCCCGCGTGCGCTGGCGTCCAGATTAGGCTGACATTTGATTCAAACGAATTAAAAGGCTTGGCTCTTGGGATAATTTGGGCCGGGGCAGATATGTAACCTTTAGCGAAATTCAGGATGGCAGCTTTTGAGTCAAATACGATGACCTCGGGGGGCATGGCGTGGCGGTGAGGCCTAGCCCACGTAGCATCCAATGTCGTGCGAACATTCCCTGGGTGTTCTGAATGTTGAAGGAACGTTAAACACCATTCGGAACGTTCTAGGAACGTTCGTATGCGAACATTCCTTACAAGGTAAGCTGCTCAACATTCTAAAAACGTTTGTTGGCGAACATTCGTATGCACAATGTTCTCAGAACGTTCTCCTTTGAACATTCATATGTGCAACATTAGGGAGTTTTCGTAGATCGTTTTCGCCGTCCCGCAAGGCCCTCCGCAACCCGCTACGATAGCGGGAACTCCACAGTCAAGGCTATTGGCGCGCAGGCGCAGTAGCAACTTCTTCGTTGCGGAACGCTTAGCGGAAGGGGCAGCGCGGTCTACGAAAACTCCCTATTCTTAGAACGTTCGCTTCCGAACATTCCTAGGATTTTCGCAGGTGAAGCCAACTTTACGGAGCTTTCAAGCAACCTGTGTTTCGAAACACCATCCACTATATGCCACCTTGTGCCAAAAATATGCAAATTAAGTGGAGGTTTTGCCCTTGTCCGTATCCCCAGTCTCGGGTTACAACTATGCTCAAGTTCTATGGATGTTTTGGGAACGTTCTTAAAACCTTGTTAGAATGGTGATTAAATGTTCTGTCGCGCTCAGAATGTTCTGAAAATATCAACTAGAAAACATTCCCCGAATGTAGCGATAAGTGCCTGCGCCACATTCTGACAACGTCGATAGAATGTTCTTACGTAAATTAGCAACATTCAGAGAATGTTGCAGAAGTTCTTTGGATGTACTGAGAACGTTCTTAGAACCTTGTTAGGATGTTTCAATGTTGATTGAATGACCTGGTAATGTTCTATGTCGTTCTCAGAACGGTCTAAGAATATCCCTTTGAAGACATTCCCCGAATGTAGCGATAAGTGCCTGCGCCACATTCTGACAACGTTGATAGAATGTTCTTACGTAAATCTTCAACATTCCAAGAATGTTGTCTATGTTATTTTGAACATTCCCGGAATGTTCTCAGAACGTTTTCGTGCTACGTGGGGGGCAAGTGGAATGGCGGCCTCTTCCGCCTGGGCCCGTTTGCTCGAAGCGCTAACCGCGACTAAAGTTAGCCGCAGTACCTAGGAGTGGGATTTTAAAATCACGTGACTGGCTCGGTAGAGATGCGGGGAAACATGGCGGTGCACCGGTGAGTGAGCGCCGCTCGCTTTGGAACTGATATGTCGTTGTAGCTGCAATATCGGGCGCGTTAGTCAGCAATAAATGGGGCAGGAGGCTTTCGCTTTGCCTTACCTCACTTAAATCGCAAAGCATGAGCAATGACCTCGCCGCATTTTTAAGATAGTCTTTCGATAGTCTTCCGGTGGTTGCAAAGGTGCTTAGCACCTTTGCAACTACCGGAACCTGCACTGCTCTACGACAGAATCCTAAGCAATGCTTTTTGTTAAGCTTGGCCTCAGAACAGCAGAGCATCCATTGAGGTTGCGAGGAATTGGTGTGCAAGCATGGCTTCAGGGTTTTGTCGCTGTCACCTGCACACAACAGTGAGGCGGTATCTGACATGAATGTTTCACAACCTTTTCAGTTGTCCAAAAGCACATCAAGACTAGATAGAAATTCTACATGCTAATGCAGCATCTACTTGGAGATAGTAGTTGCATAGCATCCCAAAAACGCTGAAAATGTAATAATAAAAAAGTTGAAAAAAAGGTGGAGATATTCCACTTGTCTTGCACAATACCCAAAATTATGCCTTCAGAGCAAAGAGGTGTCAATTGAGTTCATAATCTCTTTATTTATCTTTATATACAAAGGTGGGAGATGGGGCATATAATGTCAAACGTCAAGCTGCATGGCTTGCAGCTTGACGAGGCGCCCCACCCGGTGTGGCAGAAAAGCAGCAGAAACGTTTCAGACAACACAAGCAAAGATCAAGATACTGCACCAGTTTGAACCTGCAATCGTAAAATGAAAATGTACACAACGTGCTGCAGCAGAACAATATCCAGATGTTGAGGCCCGAGACATTTGGATGATACACATGCAATCACAAGTAAGCTTGAATCCGTGCGACTATCTCACACGACACTCATCACGGCGAACGAGGCACCCATTTTCTACCGAGAGCTCTCGTGCAAGCGCATTGAGAAAATGTGTATTGAGCACTTACCGACAACACCGCTGAATTCGCATCGCTGAACTTCTTGGCCGTCGTCTTTCCGTCTTCACTTGGCGCGCGAAGCCCACCCACCTTCAGCCCCGGGTTATCGATTATCGCCTCTGTAGCATCCAAAGAATGCGATTCGCAGCACACCGACGCACGGTGACGTCTTCGTCGCAGCAAAATGTGCCGCCAGCAACGCTCAAAGAGAGCACTTGCTGCTCGGCGGTCACCATATGGGGCCCCTCGCGACGCCGCCAAAGCTTCCACGGCAAATGTCAGCACCAGCGAGTGTCGGGCAGTATTCCCCGATTACGTCCCTGACGAACCTTGAACGGCGAACACGTAAAAACGTAGCGATAGTCCGCTTTGGTCCGCCCCGTCCGCGAGCTTGAACGTCGCCATCTTCATTGACTTTGGCAACTTTTGCTGCCCGACTACTACAAAGTTATCTCCAT